CTTACTGAGTTTGAATTTATAACACTTTTGAGAGAGGGAAAGGGGAGTTAGTACTCAACTTTACCACCTATGATAATTAGTATTAACACCATAGGGGAGAGCAAATTCTAAATCTAGTTAGTGCAAGAGGGGAGTAAGAGAGATCCTGTACAGGCAAGTTGGATATACAAACGGGTACTCAAGATACTTGGAACATTGATATCACTCGCCAAACAAGGACTGCAATCACCAAAGGGCAACATGAACAATTAAAGCATGAGTACCGTGAGGCTGCAATAAAGAGGTGTTGCATGTAGCCGGCCTTATTTCATGACTCTGCCTATAAATAAGCTTTTATGAAAAAAGTTGAAGAAGTATGTCTGTGAGGTAGACAGTTCAATAGCCGTTGACTAGTCTCCCTGTCTTCTACATCTCACATCTCTTCTCTCCTGACAGCCCAACCATCTTACAAGCCACGTGAGCTCTTTCCCCTCTTCAAAAACTTAACCGTGGCTCTCATAGCATGCAGGATAAAGATCAAACTGCTTAAGCGCCTATGTAATGCCTTCCATAAAAATGCCAACCTGTCTTTCCAGATTCATTCTTATTATATCCCTTAGCATTTTGAGCACTCTCCACGATTCACATTCTCATTATTTCTATCTTTGCCCACTGACAGAGCATGCTCGTATCCTGTATATCTAGTGTTTAGAATTCTAATTTGTCAGGTTTCAACTCAAACACTAACACTTTCATTTCAAACTCTTAAAACCATGAGAGAGAGGAAGGGAAAGGGGGGGCGGAGAGAGAGATAGAAAGCATCAATGATGACAGAGAACCATTGATCAGCTGTCTCCTGCATGCACCACACTATTGAGCCCACAGGCATGTGCCCTGACCAGAAATCGAACCCTGACCTCCTGGTTCATAGGTTGATGCTCAACCACTGAGCCATGCCAGCTGGGCAAGGCCTTCAGCACTTTTAACTAGGACTTTTACAATAGGCTTCTAGGTGGAATTAAGACCTGACTTCTTCACACTTCAGCTAAGATCTCAGACTTTCACCAGAATATCTTTCTAAAACACTGATCACATTATGGAGCTCTTCTGCTAAAAATACATTAAGTAGCTCATCGTCTTCTAGTTCAGTGTCTGAATCATTTAGTACAGGCTTAACAATGGGCACTTTTTTTTCAGCTCTACACTCTCCTTCCATTTTATAATACATAATTCATATAAAACTTTTGGATTGTACTAGTAAAGGGAAGAAGCTAGTAGAAAATGAACAATTAAAGA